CTTTTCAATAGCTTTCTTCCTTGCAAATTCTTATTCAAGGAAAAGGGAGGTGATGAATTCGGTTAGAAACCACTTTAAGTCACAAGTAAGACTCAGCTTACACAGGGAAAGACACACTGGGGATATAAAAGGTGTTCAATAAGTAAAAGCCTCATTACATTTAGGGGTTTTGTCCATATAAGCTCTCAATAATTTAAATGAACATGCTTAAAATGCGTTGGTTGCTAAGCCAGAGAAGGACTTATTTTAATTAAATGCAAGTTACTAGAGCATCTGTTATTAGGGGAAGAAATATAAACAGCCTATGTCTACTTATCAGGAAAGTATACTTAGTAGAGAAGATGGTCTAGTTATATCTATATTTCTTTGTCATTTTATGTTTGTCTTTTTAGAGTTGAATGAAATATTGAATTTAATATTACTCATACCCTTCAAAACCAGAGTGAATCATGAACTCCAGAGCTGAATCCATTCTCTTCAACTTAAGCTAAATAATGAAGGTCCCGGGAATATGTGGAACAAGAACAGTCATAAAGGAAGATGTACTTTTGAACAGTGTAAATGTGTCAATATAATTGTGCCATTCTAGCCAAAGTACATTCAAACATTTAATGCCATAAAAACAATACTATCACACTTCTGGTATTTAAATATCATAAATACTTAGTATTAATAGGGATTCAGTTGGGTGCTAGCCCATGAGCCTTAGAGATGGCTATAATACCTGAGAGCACTGTGAATATTCATATCTTGCATTCCCTGAGACAGGTTGAGTTTTAGCTGTATGGGATTAATGTGTAGTTTTTCTATTTTCTTTCTTCTTTTTGCCTAGAATGGATAAAGAATTTTGGGAGAAAAACCAACCCAAACCACATGGGAATATAAAATTAATATATTAATCATTTCACATATATATATTAAAATAATACACTAGTAAATGAAATAATAGCAATAATTCTATTGGATTTCAAGAAGGTAGGGAACAATAATTCTGATTTTATCTGAAAAAATGTTATATTCAAAATCTTTGCCCCAAGACAACAGATAATGTGGGTTTACAGTCTCTATTTTGTAAATTATGTGAGAAAGGCCCAAGAGCCCTGGATCTGAAGACTTCCTGAACCTTGGAATACTTCAGAACTGACTCAAACTTTGTGTCACAGGCCCATTTCTGAAATCTGCATCATAACTTGATTCTCTTATGGCAGTGTCAAATAAATGCAGTTCTACTTCAGTAGGTTAATTTCTAAAGTTTAGCCCATGTTGAATGAAATGCTTATATATGGCTTATTGTCTCTTCCTAATATTTCCTGTTACCTGAGGAGAACTCTACCCAGATTTTTTGGAAGAACTGTTCCCTTTTCAGTCTGTATTGAGCTTGGAGTTTGTGGTTTCCATTTCAGACCTAAAGAGACCTGGTATCTTAGACATTCTTTTGTTAGATCCCATTGTCTCAATGAGAAGACGTTACTTCTCCCTACAAGACCTAGCTTGCATACCTGCTGAGAGAGAAAATACAAGGTATAATGACAGCAACTGACAATTGGCTCAACCTGGAAACCTTCACAGAAAAAATTGCTCTTTCAGTCAGCAGATGTTTTGCCTAGTCTGACATGCCAGGTTTTGACCCTGTGCTTCTAATATAAAGCCCCTCCCAGAACACCTGAATCAAAATATAGTCAATATCATATTCATGCATAAAACAGGCTAGGGGACACTATTTGACCTTTTGGTAACTGAGCTGCTATCAAAATCAAGGTCTCACAGGATTCATGCTCAGTGTGGGGCGATAGGCCAGTATAACATCTGCTTGGTATTTATTGCAAAGCAAATGTACAATGCTGACACCATTAATCAGCTTGTCTGAGTGAATAAAATGTCACAAGCTGATGGAAGAAAGCTTGGCTTTAAAAGCAAACACCTCATATGGATCTGCATGGGTCCATCTAATGATGGATTAGTTACCGCTGGGAGATGAAGAATGACTCCAGCCTAATGTTTGAAGGGGGAACGCATGTAAATCTAACAATGCACACAGAAAGATTGTAAAGAAATTAGAGATATGGGAACTATTTCTACAAAAATCAATCACCTACCATTGGTGCCTCAAACTTCAGTGTATGATATTAAACAGAATGAATAGAAGTTTTTTGTTTTTTTTTTTTTGAGTTTTGCCCACAGGTTGCAAGCTGTGCTTTATTAGTAAGTTTTTCATTTGTAGAACTGCTAACTGGCAGGTAACATTTCTTCTTCCTTTCCCTCCTTTCCTGAGCCACAGACAGGAAAAGCACCTAAAAGACAGAAATTAACTGGAATTACTTTCAGTGGAATAGGTGCAAAGAAGTGCATCAGTACTTGAAATCCGGGGTTAAACTATGGGTGAAAACTTAGGAACAGTAAAGGGTGCTGTTACTTCCTTATTTAATGAGTAGAACATCTGTCAGGGAAAGAGGAGGGGTGGGGAACACAAATACCTGGAAAGAATCTCTGCTGGCCAGTTTAAAAATACAGGTCCTATTCTACTGTTTTGTCAAATCTTTTAAAACTACAAGGACTTTCTGCTTCCAAGATTCCCTTTGGAAGATGTCTCTGAACTGTAGTGCATTTTGGTCTCCGCATACTTTTTCCTGGTATTGTTTTTTATTTGAATTTCTTCCCACAACTACTAGCGCACCCCTTCATAACATAAAAATTCACCTCCCTCAGTAACCTTCACTGCCTTTCTTTTTGGGTGAGGTTCTGTTATATCTTCTCAGAACTGTGCCCTGAATTGCCCCACTGGAAATTATCAGGAGTATTCAAGGGCTCTAGCCTTAGAGAATAAAGTGGGAATCATTGAAATAGGTACAGTGAGACTAAGGATTTTTTCATTGGGAACACAAGACTATGTATTGAATGAATCAGCCTCTTCAATGCTATAAATCAGGGACTTGGTAAAAAGAGTTGCCATCACATGAACTGAAGGCTGTGATGTTCTAATAGAAGAAATACGCTATTTTTCTGTTGTAATGTTCTTCCTTTACCTCGGGGAAGGAAAAAGCTTGAGAATATACTGGAAAGTGCTATTGAGGAAAGACTGAGGTCTTTGCTCCAACTGGCTGAAGAGCAACAGTAGCATAAAATAATTTTGGGTCTAATGAATATGAGTTAGATCAGATCAATAAAATTGAAATTATTTTAAATAAACAAAAAGCAGAAAATTATTAAAACAAAGAGAACTGTTTTGTGAAGTAGGCTGTACTGAAGAGGTCAAACTCCAGAATGTTGAGATAATTGGGATAATTTGTAAGTGAGAGATACAAAAACCCCCTGTAACTTGAACCCAAGAAAAGGGAGTGATTTGACTGTAACTGGATTAATACAAATTAATATGATAATAATAAGAGGGTTTGGCAAGGAGAGTAAGGGAGAGGTAGAACAAGGGTTTATCACTGAGTTTTCAAGGAAGATTAAGAAACAAACCTCCAGGACTGCTTATTGAACTCAGTATACAAGATATTCTCATGAATGGCACTGGCATAAAGATCAGGAACATATTAATGAAATCTGATGATGACACAGTTGGAGGCATTTTCAGTACAGTAGCAAAGCATTGAGTAAGGAGAGAGAAGAGATTATCATGCAAGACTGAAATAAGTCAGGAGTAATGGAAATGTGATGAACAGCAATAAGAATAAAATGTAAAGACTAATCAGAATTTCTCATTAAAGTTGGCAGTTGATTGACTAGAGGTATCCAGGGGCAATGACCTGTATGTTAGGTTGATAGCCCAACTTTGAGATATGACTGACATGAGGACATGAAAAAGACAAATGTGATCTTCAACTGAGAATCAAGATATTTCAAAAGAGATAAGTTCATTTCATGTGAAGTGATAAAACATCCCCTAAAATGTCATGTTCTATTTACCACTAAAAAAAAAGTTAATCTGATCTGGATTGAGTGCACAGAGCACATCCATACACTGGACACTTGGGTTATCAGGAGACTGGATACTAACTACATTCACAAACAGCCTATCATGCTAAGGTGCCTAAAAGAGTATATATTGTTCAAATGAGCAATTATATAAGTTCATAGATAAGAGGAATTTTTTCTTCATTACAAAAGATGATACTGGCAAAATTACAGCTAAAAGAAGGTTTCCAAAGAGCAGAGTAGGGAGTTACTAAACCAGCCTTCTGACATACTAGGTGCAAGAAGACCAATTATATTTTAAAAGTTTTGTGAGTAGATTTTTATTAAATAACTTTTTGCCGTAACAGGAGATTGCACTTTGTGCACCTCGAGTCTTTTATACAGAACCTCAAGTCTTTTTTCCCCCAAAAGTATGGAAAAAAAGCCAAAAAGGAAAAAAGCCAAAAAGACTGCTGTTTAAGAATGAGGAACATCATTTCATACAGATAGTCTGAAAACTCCCTAAGGCCTCAGAAAGCTTTAAGTACTGTTTAAATTCCTCTCAGGCTCTAATTGATTCACTACTTGTTCTTTGACTCTTGAATATCTCTCTGCTTCATTCTGTAGGATTCCTTGTCCTTGATACAGTGCTCCTCTGTGGGGGTCAAATAGTTCTTGCACTAGGCTGTGCTTAGTACAATCTTGAAAGAGTCTGGAAATCTTTTAACAAGATACCTGATCATGCTCTGCCAATGTATGATCATGGTCTGCCTATGAAATCAGAGGCACCTTTGGATGTTGTCTTCCCAAGAAAATTTGCTCCCCAATTTTAGCTTTCTTACCTTGACTCTATTCACTTTTCATAACTGTCAGGTGACGCCCAAACACACAGTAGTCCAGTCATAGCAGGACAGATAACCACTCATCTAGCGGAGTTGTGCCAGTGTGAAACCTTATCAGTCAAGTCTGAACATTTTGCAGATTTATAAAATCACATTTAGACAAACATGCATGAGGCAGAGATATATCCACAGGTTCACTTTCCACAAGATTGGGAAAGTAACCCGAAGACATGCCCTTGTAAACTGCAGTGTCAAACTCACCAAACAGGAATGCCAGTGCAGGCTCCATTAACATGATTTACTTCCACTCTGTTTGGCATGCCTGCCCTGTGCTTGACTTATATCCAGGTTGCCGCTGACTTCATCTTCCTCTTCATGGGCTGCAGACAGGTTCTGCACAAGGACTACTTGTGTTCTGGTGGGATGCTGTGGCTACAGTTTCTTCAGTTTCTGCACTGAGGCTATGCAATACAAAAGGTAACCAACAAATGGATGTCAAAATTGAAATAAAATGAGAAAGGAATGGTCTGGGGCCCTGTTAGCACCACAAAATATTATCCAGAGTATGAATGAATCCTAGACCTGATAACTGGATTTAAATTGAACATAAGATTTGATCCAGTTCTTAACTCAGAAGTAGCTGTTTGACTGTTGGACATTTATGTGCACAAGAATTAAAATCACTTTAATTTTTTTAATATACCAATTCGGAAATAACAAAGGCTTATTTCGAGTCTTAGCTTTGGTCTCATAATACTTTCCCTATAGGAACTCTTTAGTGCAACTTAAATGAGCTCATGGCCATGCAAGAGAACTCTTCAGGCTACGGACTCATCAAGGACTATAAACCAACACATGCATGGTTGTTATTTTGCGTATTACTTCTGGAAAACATTGTACAAATCACCTTTTTTTTTTTCCCCCAGGTAAAATGTCATCACAGCATAGGGTGGCCTATTTCCAGGATTCTGGAACATGACCTATATTACCAAATTTCAGTTATGTTACTAATATTGGTGACCATGATTAGGTAAAAATTATTACATTCACTTTCGATGTGTACCTAAGAATTTGGGTTTGAGATGTTCTGGAGCAGCATATTAGAAATCTGACATATTTCTAAATTATATTTTTAAAAGAAGAGTTTCTAAAAAAAAATATTTTGAGCATTAACTCAAACAGTCCAAAAAAGCCCTTTAGTTTCATACTCATTATAAATTAATTTTATGCCTTCTGTATACTTTTTTGTATTCAGCTATTGGAAACATTTGTATGGCAAAAGCTAGAAATTCTGGCAACTAGCCAAAGAGCAGAGGGCCCTTCTCAGGGAAGGCAGCCTGGGCTTGTGGGATGAACATGGGTAGAAGACAGAGAATTACTCTGCAGTTATATGCTTAATTGCACCATTTCTAAATGGAATTTTCCTTTCCAAATTCACCTTTGATCCCTTCCAGATGATGAGGAGTTCATCATTCTCACAGCTACCATTAAAAGCATAGTTTAGTACTTGTCTGGCATTGTCAAAGGTATTTTAACACTCGTACAGACTAGAAACCTATCCGCTTTATAGCTCCCTCTCCCCACCTTTTTTCTTTTTTTCCTTTTAGTCACAGCTGTTGCAACTACTATTGTGATTTACACCTTCTGGTGCATCTTCCCAGTGTGTAGTCTGCGTTCATTTAGGGACAGGACTGTCACTTGCTATATGTCTGCAAAATGACCACCATAGAGACTTCCCTGAGGACTTCCAAAATCCTTCTCATTCCCTTTTGTATAGCATCTAATAATAAGCAAGAGTCAAGACCACAATTCTTCAGCAAATTCCATTTCTATGAAATCACGATATACACAAGCCCCTGATAAAATCTGCGTACTTTGTACATAATTTTGTTCCTACACAACTGCACACAGGGTCAACTGCCTTGGGAATTCAGATTTTTTTTTTCCTAGGCATTATCTAAGTGAGGAATTGCATGCAGGCACAGAGTGCCTCCATTATCAGGAAGCATCTGGAAGTCTGACCTATATTTGAGAATGAAATTCCCTGTACTCAGTTTCAGATGTAAAAGTACTGCTTATTTACAATATTTGTCACCAGACTTTATTATTTAATCTATTTTTTTATCTTCTTTCAAGATGCTACTTTATTTTTTCACTTAGACATTTCCGTATCATTGTAATCTCCACTCTTACTTGTCCAAATCTCTTTAGCCATCGGTGTCGTTGTTCTGAAACAAATTCATGAAACTCTCCTTTTTTCTACACCAGACTTGATAGTGCAAGTCAAAGGACTTGATGTATAACACAGGCCTGAGTCTCACTTCACGTAAATCAGAAAAAATTGCTAAAGTTGTTGGAGATTTACAGATTTTTCACAAGCTGGTCCTTTATACTCTTTTTGTCTAGGGAGACCACAACAGCATTAAAATGTAGCAGCATGGCTATAGCTGTAATAGCCTAAGGCTGTAAGTGAGGCAAGGAGGTAATCTCTTTCTATACCTGCTGATACAGCTACCAAAACTCACATGTGTTTGCATATTACAAACCTCTTCTATAATGGATATTCTAATGAAAGACATTTTCTAAAAACTATGTCTATTAAGGGTAGCTCCTTAGCAATGGTTTGCTCTAGAATCAGACCACTGTTCCTTTAATTATTTACTAAGCGTTGCTAGACTGGTGTGAAGGGATTCTTGTCTTCCATCAAATACACACTGCACTTGTTCAAACATTCCCAGTCCTTGGTGCTTCCTCTTTTCTACCTTTTCTTCATACTCTGCTTTCCAGAAGCAGGTACTGTGTTGTATTATCTGATCATCTTCTTCTCAAAACTCACCACAAAATATTAGTGGTTATTTCCACAGGGCAAATGGGAATCCTGAAAAAAGCCTTCATTGTTTCTTGTCTCAGAGAGTACTTTGGGGTACTCATGGGTGAGATCCTGAGGAACCCCACTGTGTGGTGTGCTTCTAGTGAAAGTATAACAATATAATGCATATAATTTCCTGATGGCTCATTCATTCTTTCAAAACACTTTGATTGATGAAAGCTTATCATTTCATCAATCCAAATATTCACCTTTAAATTACTAGAAAATGTTTGTCCCCAAAAAGCAGAGTATGCTGTTTATTGGTAACAGGCAGGCTTGTGGAATGCATATTGCTCTAAGAACCCTGGAATGAAAAGCCAAATCATAGAATCATAGAATCGTTAGGGTTGGAAAGGACCTTAAGATCATCTAGTTCCAACCCCCCCGCCATGGGCAGGGACACCTCACACTAAACCATATCACCCAAGGCTGCGTCCAACCTGGTCTTGAACACTGCCACAGATGGAGCATTCACAGCCTCCCTGGGCAACCTATTCCAGTGCCTCACCACCTTCACAGGAAAGAATTTCCTCCTTATATCCAATCTAAACTTCCCCTGTTTAAGTTTTAACTTGTAAAGGCCCCCTTCAGATACTGGAAGGCTGCTATGAGGTCTCCACGCAGCCTTCTCTTCTCCAGGCTGAACAGCCCCAACTTCCTCAGCCTGTCTTCATATGGGAGGTTCCCCAAAAGCCTGCTTGCTTGCTTTCCTCTTGTTTTTTTGGCTCAAGGAGGATATTGAAACTGTCTCTCAGGGCTCCACAGAACTGCTGAACCCTGCATTACTGTGAAAAAAAATTCCTTCATTACAGACAAATATACCCCTTCAGTTAGAAGGCAGCAGTAAAAGGACCAGCACACATTTAAAGAAATACTACATTATAAACAGGTTGTTACAACATTTGAATCTAACTTTGAGAAAATACTTTCTGTTCTTTAATGAAAGATCAAAATGAAAGATTCACATGGCTAGAAGAACAGGGCCGGGTTACTAGCATATTTACATTTGGGAAAGTAATGGTCCTGAATAGCAATTTAAAACATTTTCTTCAACTAACCCACAACAGAAATTATCAGCCTAATGGAGATGTCTGCAGCATTTGTTCCAAACAATCAGCTCCCATACAGAAAAGCAGAATTCATGGAAACTTGTCAGTTCACATCATGTCATTTTCAGCTAGGACCGATTTTCCCAGTGCTTTGTAGGCTGAGATCATAATCTTGCTGACAAATTATCAGGAAGCCACAGAAGCAATAAAATCTTTGGAAAGAAAGGTGGATAGTAAGAAAACTTAGTTCCCTGCAACACTGAGTCAGGAGTTAACTCAAATATTTCTCCAGTTTCACAACTTAACTTTCTGCTGGGCTGTTGGCGAAGGGCCAGCATTCCAATTAGGCACAAACTGGAAGACTTCCCACAGGTCAATGTCTTTCCCTGGACACCAAAAGCACTGTTAAGATAAAATCTTAACTGCATTTTGACCAAGATCATTTACTCATTCCTCGTCTTTCACGCTGTTGCAACTGGATCTTGCATCTGAAAGTAGGGACACAATAATGTGTGAAGTCTGAATGAACTTTTTCATACTGTAAACAACAGGGAAAAGGCTCCATGAGCAGAAGTAGCAAAACTGACAGTGAAAGGACTCTCTTATGCAAAAGATACTTTAGTGGATGGAGTTCACGTGATTGAAATAATTTCCACCGTTACAGCACATTTCTTGTCTAAGCATTAGGAAGCATTGCAAACAACTTACCACACAACTACCACTGGAAGTAAGAAAGCAGTATTATTCTCATATTGCAGATGGCAATACTAAGAGAGAGAATTTCAAGCCACAGAAAACAGTGATAGAGATGGAACTGGATACTCAAAATATCAGGTAATCAACCATTGTCCACAGCTTAAAGTCCAATTTCCACCAAACTGGGCCACCAGGTATTTGCGAAGACTCCATGAACTGACCAGCTCCATAAAGCAATAAAACACCACAATCCCAGCCTAGTAGATAGAGAATTGAAGTGCAAATATATGTTGTCACAAGGGAAGTTTATGGAAAAGGCAGGAACTAAACCAGATGTTTGAAGATCTGGCCCACTGCCTTAAGCAAAAAATAATGTTTTTAACTCCTGAAGTGCTCTAGACAAAACTGTTCCTTCTTGCCTTTTATGATCTGGTTTAGTAAAGACAATATGATCTGGTTTAGTAAAGACAATAGAGAAAGATCAGGAAGTTTGCTGTTAACCCAAAGCCTACACTGTGATAAGAGAACATGCTTTGATGACTGTGGAATGTTATTTTGCTTTTACTTAAACTGGGGGGGAGGGAGGAGAAGAGAAAGAAAAAAGTGTCTGTATTGTGGAGGCAATTTCCAGACTTGGATCTGCTTTTCTTCTTTCCCTCTGTAAATTCTTTTTTCTTTGGTAAGTCTTTTCCAAAATTACTCAATGTTGACCCATATGGATGGTACTGGATAAACTGCCTACGCTGCTTTTCAAACACTGCAAACTTGATAGGGCAACTACATGGTTCCATTATCTACACTTTCCAGCCTGCACTGGGAATAAATCTTTTTTAAAAGCATTGTTTCT